CCCACCGTCCCTGCCGCCCGCGGTACCGGAGCTCTGCGCTCCCGGAGCACACGCTGAACTTCCTCTGCGTGTGAGCAGCCCACGGTGCTTTTATCCAGGGAAAAACGGGGCTGTGTTTGTGCCTAAGCCTGGCTTTGTGTTGAGCTCCCTCTGTGCTGCTCACTAGGAGCACAGCTGGTGGATCCAGGATCCTGTGCTTTTGCTTTGTTTTTTAATTTTGATTGAAAGGATCGTCTCTAAGATAATACAATCTTGCTGTAGCGGCCACACCTTGGCACGAGTCTATGTAAGAACTGCTAACACAGGTAGAGTTGGAGCTCATGTGTGTCTCTGTCCCTCTGCAGACAATTGTTATGAACGACTGCATCATCCGCGGTGACCTGGCCAACGTGCGGGTCGGGCGGCACTGTGTGGTGAAGAGCCGCAGTGTCATCAGGCCACCCTTCAAGAAGTTCAGCAAGGGGTAAGAGGCTCCTTCCTCTAGGGAGAGACCTGAAAGTCTCTATCAGCTTGGCTGAGAGCTGTATTCAGAGGACCCTGTTCCTTCTACAACTCCCTGACAGGAGGATTAGGAAGAGATTTTTACAGAGAGAGTGCTCAGGCATTGGAATGTGCTGCCCAGGGAGGTGGTGGATTCACCATCCCTGGAGGTTTTAAAGATGAGACTGGATGTGGCACTTAGTGCCATGGTCTAGTAACCACGGTAGGGTTGGACTTGATGATCTTGGAGGTCTTTTCCAACCTGGTTGATTCTATGATTCTATGATTCTGCAGCAATTCGCAGAAATATGTCCCTCTAAACCTGCCTTTTCCTTGAGTGTTCAGCTGTGCCTTGAGGGATAGTGTTCCTTCCAGATCATCAGATGGAAAGGCTGGGGTATATTAAAATAGATGAGTAGAGAATGAACATCCTCCTGATGCTCATTTGGGCCATCCTTTAGAAAGAGAGAAGAAACACCAGTTACTGTTCTGTCTTCCTTAGGACCAGATCAACCCCTGCTAATCCATCTGGAGACAGGAGACTCCACAGGGTGATTTTGGGTCTAGCAGTGTCAGTTTGTTTATTGTACACCAAACAAATACCTCTCCTGTTACAGGGTGGCCTTCTTTCCTCTCCACATTGGTGACCATGTATTCATAGAAGAGGACTGTGTTGTCAACGCAGCCCAGATTGGTTCCTACGTGCACATAGGCAAGAACTGTGTCATCGTGAGTGCCATTTCTGTCTTTTCTTTAACCTCCTGTGCACTGCTGAGGCTTTGTGATGACAGCCAAGAGGTGTCTGCACCAGTTGGCTGGAGCAGGCACACTTACTCTGCACTGTTTCTTCCTCCTCCTGTTCTCCACAGGAAGCAGTGCTTTCTTGCTTTCAGGTTTGCTTTTCCAAGCACTGCAGGTTCAGCTGTCACTGGTTGGAAAATCCATCCTGACAGTGTTGTCCCTGTGGCTAACAGGACTGCCCAGGGCGTGGGAATTGTGTCTCTGGGCACATAACACCAAATAGCCAAGGCTGCTACATGCTGAGGTAGAGAAGGCCTTGCTGGTACTGCATGACTCGGGGTTCAGGCTTCAGTTTGCACACTGACAGGTCAGTGTGCAGCTGTCTATGTCTGTGCTAGTTGAAAACAAACATGCTTTCCTCAAAAAGAAAAGTTGATCCTGTCGGGAAGACCATTCAGTCAGGGTAAAGATTTATTCCCGTGATCCTTTTTACAGAATGTGTTTAGAGCAATTAATCTTGAAGTTTAGGTAACGCATCAGTAATAACCGAAAGATAGAATGTTTATAGTGTTTTAAGTATAAACTTTTCCCGTTCTCTGCTTTAGGGTCGTAGATGTGTGTTGAAAGACTGCTGCAAAATCTTGGACAACACAGTACTCCCTCCTGAAACTGTAGTCCCACCTTTCACTGTCTTCTCAGGCTGCCCAGGTATGCTGCCTCTAACCTCCCTTGCACAGGAGTGTGGATGACATGGATATCCTTATTTTTGATGAGATTGCAATGACAAAGTTGCCTGTTAGCATTAGGTGCCTAGAAATAAAGGTGTTCAGCACTTTCTGATCTGAAAAGTAACAGTTTTAACTCGTGGCACTCCCTGCTGCAGTGTATGGCAGGGAGGTGGTACACAGTGACTGATAGCCATACTGTTGTTGTTCTTTCAGGACTCTTCTGTGGGGAGCTCCCAGAATGCACGCAGGAACTCATGATCGATGTTACCAAGAGCTATTACCAGAAGTTCTTGCCACTCACTCAGGTCTAGTAGCCCATTTCCCATGTTTCAGAGCAGTGCAGGCACACAGGAGCATTCTCCGGGTGGGGACAGGGATATTCCAGTGAGACCAGGGCCCAGAGCACCTGTGTGAGTGTCCCTCAGCACTACTGGCCTGGCCAAGCAGTCCCTTGTGAAAGCTGCTGTGTCCTGTTCAAACTTTGTCTGCTCATCCGATGTACTCCATTCCATGTTGTCTGAACTGTGCCATTGAATGTTCTGGAGCTGGGAGAGCTGAAACACCTGCCTTGGGGCAGCAGCTGGGGAATGAGGCAGAGCTGACATGCTCTGCAGCCTCAGCCTGGCTGCTCACTTCTGTCCTAGCTCAAAGCTCGTGGGTGTAGGTTTGCTAGGAGCAGTCCCACCCCAGCAGTGCTCTCATGGGTGTGCTCTGGGCAGTTACCAGTTACCCAGGGCTCTCCTTGGGCCTGCGTGTCAAGGTGCATGGCCTCTTCCTTTTCTGCCTGGGATTCTCTCCTGTAGGGATATCCCTCTGATACTGGCTTTAGGAATTTTGGCTGACATTGACACCTGTCTTTCTGTGCCAGACAGGACACTTCTTAGCTCTTAGTTCCTGAAGCAGCCATCGGTCCTGGGCTCTCGCCCCTCAGGGTTAGTGTTCTCATGGCCAGTGCATGTTCTACTTTCTGAACATCACAGACCCTAAAGAGCAAAAGGCCTTTGGAAAGAGAATTTCCATGTCACTCACAGAATTCAGTGCAGCAGAAAGTGGATAATTAAGAGCGGAAACCAGAGGTGGGTGAGACAATGCTGAACTGTCCCCATTTATTACCCAGTGACTATGTCTGCAGAAAGCTCCTAGTTGCTTTTCTGCATTCTGAAACTTAAGAAGGAGGTTCAGACTTTTTGGAAAGGTACATTTTGGACATGTAGTAGAGCAGGAATTGTTCTTACTGGAAGCAGCTCTGAAAGTTGGAGGCATCTGATGCGTGTGTAGTACAGTACACACAACTGGCTGCACACAAGTCTACCTGCTCTGGTTGTGTTCTATTAAAGCTTAGAATTGCCCTGCTCTAGGTTTCAAACTGGGGCTCCTGCATGTGGTAGTGTAGCAGCTGGGGCCAGGACATGTGTTAGTCCTGCAGTAGGTGGATGAGCAGCCCTGGAGCCTTCAGCTGATCTGTTTAATGCAAATACTGATACACCTTCATAGCAAACAGTGTACAAGTGCTCATGTGTGTAGTAGCTGCTCTTCATCACATGTAAAACCACTGACTGGCTTGTTTGTATTTTTATTGTACATAAATTAAAGCCTCTCCGGTTATTCAAGTGACTCAAGGTTGTGACTCTTCAAATCAACTTGAGCCTAGACTGAGCTTCCTGCTGTGCTTGGCCATGAGCCACAGTCTCTTGTTCTGTGACTGTTACAGGATGTCACGGTGTCAGTGCATTAAAAAAGCAAAGTACAGCATGGAACAGCTTCTTCCTCTCTCTGAGGGGCTAAAGAGGCCTGCCCTGTCACCAGCCCTAACAGGTTTGGGGCTTCTTGTGAGATTTCCTGCCCGTCAGGTGTTCAGAGCCCTGTGAGTGTGCCCTCGGGTGTCTGTGGCAGTGCGGGGCTGCATTGTGTCTGGCAGGACAGGGGTGTCTGTGCTGTGTTGTGTCACCTCAAAGTTTCAACACCACATGGTGCGTTTCACCGGGATCGCTTGAGCAACAGCCGCAGCGGCAGCATGGGCTGGGAGAGGGGTGGGAGCAGGGATGTGAGTTCGGGAGGGGATGGCAGCTGGAAAAGTGAGTGATGCATTTCCACCATCACCTGAGAACAGAGCTGTAGTGCACAGAGGGATATGTCACTGCAATTACATGTTTCTTGGCCTACTCTTCCTTCTAGCAAGCTTGAGCTGACCCTTCTTCCTTAATTTAAACCTGTTTTGTTGTCTCTGTTAAGGTGGCCTCTGCCAGGGCCTAAAACCAAGCTGCCACTGAGGATCCCAAACACTCTGCACTGTTAACATTCCTTACACTTGGCCACTTTCTCCTCCTGTCTCTGAAGCATCCCTCTGACCTGGGCTCACCTCTCCGCCTCTCCAGCTCTGGGAAGATGGTGTGTCAGTGGGCTGCAGTGTGCTGCTGCAGCCTGGGGAGTTCCAGCTCTGCTGGCAGCCGTCGGTGCAGCGTGGCACAGTAAACCCTGACCCGCAGGTGGGCTGTGCCTGCAGCCAGAGAAGCTGCAGGAGTGGGGAAGCATGTTCCACAGGGAGGGGAATGCCTGCTTTCAGGAATCTTGTACAAACAGTGAGCACTTCAACCCCCAAGTTGCTGTGTTGCTTCATTGATCCTGCTTTGATCCTGTGTGCTTTGCTCTGAGTTGCTCTGACCAATGGGCAGGCTGTGCTGCTTTTATTTCAGGGTGTTCACACCTCTCCCACTCTGGGCCAGGCACTGCTGGCTCCGTGAGGAGCTGAGGTGGCTGCAAGGGGCTGTGAGGGAGGGTCACACAGTCACCAGGCAAACGGGGGCTGTGCCTGGTCTGTGGGGAGCTGAATCTCCTGAGATGATCCAGCACCGGGTGGGGAGTTACAGTTGAACTGTGACTGCAGTGATCTGGAGGGCTCATGGCTCAGTCCTGTGTGCTGGGCTCTCCAGAGCACCCTGGAGACCGATGGCCTGTGCCAGTGTCACTGGGTTGGGCATGGGCTGAAACCACCAGGCCAGCGTGTGGCAAAGTGTGGAATGTGCCGGCCAGGACCATCTGTTCTTTGTTAGCCAGGACTGAAAGAAACAGCTTCTGCTGATGAGGAAGGGAGGCCAAAGGAGGTGAAATCCCTGCCCTCATTCTGCTTTCAGCAGGGTGGGATCTGGAGACAGAGAGCTTCTGCTGATGGGGAAGGGAGGCCAAAGGAGGTGAAATCCCTGCCCTCATTCTGCTTTCAGCAGGGTGGGATCTGGAGACAGAGAGCTTCTGCTGATGGGGAAGGGAGGCCAAAGGAGGTGAAATCCCTGCCCTCATTCTGCTTTCAGCAGGGTGGGATCTGGAGACAGAGAGCAGTCACCTGGGCTAAGGGACTGCCATGAGTTTTGTGTCATTCTGGGTTATTTTTCATTTTGTTCTGCGCCAGCAGGCAGTAAGATGGGCTTAAGGGATGGGATCATCCCACGGTCACTTCTCTTGCCACATGGTGCCAGGCCTAGGAGCAGCACCAGGGGCCTGGGGATGCCCTGGGGTACAGAGGCCACTGGGCAGTGTGTCCTTGGCGTGAGTGGGGCGAGGAGAATGAAATGAGATCAGGGACAGGCACACTCCCCGCGTCCCCGCCCCGTCCGCGCGTCCCCGCGCCGATCCTC